ATATAGGTCAAGAACATTTTTTCATTTGCATTAATTTTTTCTTTTTTATACCCAATAACAGTATATGCTTAATTTAATTTCGATAGGTTTTTCCTAATTTTTAAGTTCACAATTCTCTCACGAGTGTGACTCAATTTATCTAAAGAATATTTCAATTTGTCTACGCCTACACAAAACTAATATACCCTAGTTGCCTCAGCTTCGGTGGGTATATAGGGTAGAAAAACCGAAAAACAACGCAAGAAATAATAAAAATGCGTGCAGTCCATCTCTGAGGTCTTGCAGTCAGGAGTCTGGGTCTGCGTTCGTGTCCGTTTTGAGTTTGGTTTACGGTTTTCTGTTTTCATTTTTTCGCCCAATTTTCCTTTTTCATTTTTTTTTATTTTTTTTTGTGTCGTCGTGCCTAAAAACCGCACAAAATGCGGCTCATATTTCAAAGCCTGCTGTCTGGGTCTGGGAAGGCTCGATCTGTTTTCGGCCCGGCATTGCTGCTGTGGTCGGTTGTGGTTGTTGTCAGTGTCAAGTATCTGCCTTTACGGCTGTCAAGACTTAGTTGCCCAGGCCAGCTCGCACACACTCACACACTAACACACGCACACAATTAAAAACAATCGCAGACGCATAAATTCTACCACAATTAACTCGCACCTCTGCTGACAAAAAGACACAGCTTGGTTTTTGTTTCTGTTTGTGACAGCACCTGAACTGGATTTTGAATGCATTCCCAAACAGATTTAACATTTTCGTAAATTATTTTTGTTTTGTTTATTATTATTTTTTTTTTTTTTTTTGGTGTGTGTTTTTCCAGCTAATTTGGGCTTTTAAGTGCCAGCAGCTCGTATATATCTAAAAGTTTAGCCCAGAGTTTGCATTAGCATGCAGTTAATTAACATTCCGTTTTGGAACTAGTTGGCGCAAGTTTTAAATGGGGCTTAGTCAAAAAACAACAACTAAAAACTTGTTATAATAGTTGGCGAAATTCGAGTGAAATGATGTTCAGACAAAACCAACAAATGTTTTCGGTGTCTCGGTTCAGGTTTCAGAACTGTTGCAGTCAGGTTCAGGCTCTAAAGGTATTTTTTCTGAGTGGTAAAACTCTTGTTAATATCAAAGCGAAGAGCTTTGTCAATCATATTTTCATATAATTAGATAATTAAAATTTAGACCCCGACAGTAGATCACTTTTTGTTAAGTTAGAATTCGTTCCAGGCTTGGCTTCAGCTTGGGTTCATTGCTTTCAAAAAACTGATATTTCGTCGTGGAATTGGTTCGGCTTGTTATTTAATATAAATGCTGACATTTTGTTACATTGCACTGCCGACAAGGCGTGGCTGCTCGACTGTGCGCTTACGTTGCGCATACGCCCCGTTTTACCGTCCATGTGTGCTTGTGTGTGTGTGGGTGTGTGTGCGTGTGTATGGTTTGGTTTATGCCTCGAGTCAACCTCTTTGATGTACATTGATTTAGTTGCTGTGCTGTGTAGCTATTGCGCCTGCCACGCCCACAAGTAACTCTTGCGTCTGCATTGAAATTCATGTGTCGCTCAACACGCTTTGATTTTGATTTTTCTTTTGTTTTTACATTATTTTTTTTTTGTAATTTTAGCGCGCCTCGCGCCCAGCCATGCAGCCCAGCCCAGCCCAGGCAGACAAATTTATAACGACATCGCCTATATTTATAGACGCCTTCACCTGTCTTGCCAAAAATCACTTACGAAATTAAATTTGTTGCTGCCTGTCGCTCTCCATTTGTGTTGTTGCTGTGCCCCAACTCTCTCTTCCTCTCTCTCTCTCTCTCTCTCTCTCTCTCTCTCTCTCTCTCTCTCTCTCTCGCCTTCTCTCTCCCTGTTTAGTACTGGCTGCCTCTGTCTCTACGTTTTGCCCATTAGCTAGCATTGAAAGCACACATTCGTTTAACTAAGTTATATGCCAATTCGCGAGAGAAGCTCCTTAGCACCTCAAGCCTCCTGCTCATTATCATCATCTTCCTCATTATCATCATTATCATCTTTCATGAGCAACTGGGAAATGTTGCACATTTCACTAGCGTCGTGCGCCAGTTGTCAGCTTATTATATGATTACCACATAATCTACTCAATAGATCTCAAAAGTTATACAGAGTAAGCTGATAATTGACTGCGATGGGAATATGGAATATATATGTTGACAGCTCTATTTATATTTTATTTATTTATAAACTGAGTGCATAATTAGCTAGTCGCATCTTTCATTTGCTCAGTAAAAAATCTTTTTGAAGCGCTTTGATTAATCATGGCTCTTAAAAACTAAAAGGTTTGCTTAAGAAACAGGATTTCGATTTCGAACTCTATATATATATATATAACAAACTCGTACTGCACGGGCACTGGGAGGACCTGCGTTCAAAATTTCATGTCTCTAGCTCTTAGAAGTTCTGATATCCTTGCATGCGCTTATACAAACGGGCGAACGGAAGGATGGCTAGATCGACTCGGCTTTTGATGCTGATCGAGAATATATATACTTTACGGGGTCGGAGATGCTTCCTTTTGCCTGTTACATGCGTTAGCACAAAATCATGATACCCTCTTTAAAGGTGTTTCTTATATTGAAGATTCAACTGAATGCGAAACTTTAGTAGAGGTAAGTCTGGGATATTTATATCTTCGTCTTCAAAAAGCATATAGGTATAGGTATTGTATGGGTATAAGCAAGTGTTTTCAGGACCTGAAATTTCCGGGCTGTATGTGGAAGATATTGAGATACTTAGAACAGGCTTCATCCTAGGCAACTTGATGATTCCAATTTTATGAAGTATGACTTGGGCTTTAAAGCTTATCTATCTATAAAATGATTATAGATGAGCCTGACGTGCTATGTTCTTGTAATTTTCAACTAAATTTCAAGTAAAAATATATAAAAAAATATTACACAGCCAACGAAAAAAGCTTTTGTCTCCTTAAAAGTAACAAAATGTAGCTAGCAACTGGATTAGCTAACAAATGCAGGGTATTCAGGCTTCTGCCAACCTCTCTATTTTGTTTTTGAATAACATTTTGTTGTTGTTGATGTTGTTGTTTGCCTTATTCCGATCAGATTTACAAAAAACATGTCTGTCGCATTTATAAATTACATTTGAGTAGATGGCCTGCAGGTATTTTATATTATTTGCTTACTTCGGATTCCGGATGTGTTGTGCACACACACGCGCACATACACACCCATTTATATATATAACTCGGTGTCTCTCCAACGTATGTATTTGGAAATGTACAGCAAATACTTATTTGATTGCTCACAACAAATGCCCTGCCTTCGGGCCGGGTTGTTGTTTTCATTCCGTTTGCAATTTACATTAAACTAATTAATTATATTTGAAATTTTAAAAAGTATCTGTGTTGCTGCCCAAAAACAAAATCACTCTAAATAAATGAAAGAAATTAATTTAAATAAAATAACTTAATATGTTTGCCGCGCAAATAAATATCTTGCGCAGTAAAATATAATTTTCCCAGCTTTGCGATACACTCGTCCGTTTTGACGAGCTTCAACAATTTTAGTCGAAATATATTTAACAAAAAACACATCAAATCGACTAGAAAAAATACTTGGAAATATATTTCTAATTGACTTTTATTTGTTGTTTTTTGAGTTCAGTACTTCAATTGTTGTATTTAAATTAAACTTTGTGTAACTTTGTAGAGGGTATTATAAGTTTGTCATTAAGCGTGTAACCCATATAAGGACAAATCTCTGGCCCCATAGAGTTTATACATTCTAGATCAGCATCAACGGTCGGTTTGAACCAGAACCTTTACATAGGTCCTGCCTTCTTTGCCACCCAGTACTTAAACTCAACATTCATAAGCCCCACTCTGTTCCTCACATAAATGCAAACTCTTATCAACAAAAGTGCAAAATATTCTGTTTTCCCATATACTCAGCATTTACAAGGTTCACTATTCTTACACATTGGCGAAAGGCAAATGTCCACAAGGGTATTAAATCATCTCGTTATGAGATTAATTTGTTTGTCATCCATTGTGTATGCATTTATGATATCGACCATTTGTTGGCTCCAAATTCATGAATTTATCTAATTATTTTTTAACTGACAGTCTTTTAAATTAAAGAAACAACTAAGAAAAACGAAGTAAGGGCTTTAGATATTCGTAATGACAGCTCTAAAATCTAGACATGTAAATTGTCTTAAGAAGCAGTTGATGTAAATATTATATAACATCAAATATTGATATATTATGTAAGTATTTATAAAAATTATCTTTTTTATATATATTTATTTAATATAAATAAACTGTTTTCCATTAATACCGAAAATCTGAAATTATATTAGGATTAACATTTCGAAAGCCGTGAAAACTCTGCCCATTAAAAATACTCAACGTTTGCTTTCTCTTAAGCAATAATAGGTATTATATGTATTATCCCCTAAGTAATTGACCCTATTTAAAATGCTTAAAAACAGGTATTTCAGCTTGCCACAAGAAGCCGCACGAAACACCGAAAGCAACAACAATAGCAACAACAAGAAAAAATAAAAATAATCACATCATTTATTTAGTTGTCTCTGTTTTCTGTTTCGCTCATTTTTTTTTTGTTTTTTTTTTTTTTGCACAAATTAAATGCACCTTTACATTGTTGTTGTTCTTGTTGTTGATGTGTGTGTCTATGTGTCTGTGTGTATTGTTTTTTCTGTACTGTTTTTTGGTTTAATTCTTTTTGTTGGGGAGCAATTTTGATGCACTTGCTGCTGGTTTTTGGTTAGTTAATTTGACGGGTTTTCCTTAATTTTTTCTGTTGTGTTTTCTTTGCGTTTAAATTGTTGTTTGTGCAATTGTTTAAGCACACACACGGCTCATTAATTATTTATTTCTGTAGCTACTCACCGACAGTTGTTGTTGTTGTTGTTGCTGCTGCTGCTGCCACAAATCAATCAAATGTTGTTGTGCCTCGCTCTGAATTGTTGAAGGTAGTTTTTTTGTTTTTTGTTTTTATTTAGCTTTGCTTTATTTTGTTATTGATTTGTTGCACGTTCAAATATTGTGTATTAAGGTTGTTTTTTTTTTTTTTTGCCCCCGCCCCACAATCTGTCGCCGACGAGCTCTATAGAGTATACAGAAACGGGGTTTGTGTGTGCGTTAATTAAATGACTGAGGCTTTTGTTGAAATGTCTTTTTGATTTATGCAAGAACAACAAGAGTTTCCGCTTAAATGTCCCAACTGTTTAGCGCCTTTCGTTACCGTGCCACAATGGACCGCAATTTGTGTCTATTGCGAAATCTGGCAACTGGCCGCAAAAGTAAGCCAAAAACGTAGTGTACAAATATTTATGCACATAAATTTCAAAACATTCCCCCCCCCCTCTTCCAACACCTTGTGGCCCAGCCAAATTACACAAATTACACACTCATTTAATTTCATTTTCGCTTCTTGGCTGCATTTTTTTTTTTATTTTATTTATGCCACGAGATTCTCATGAATGAACAGCTGTGTGTTTAGGTGTGTTTGTGGGTAATTGTGCGTGGGTGTAGCTAGCACTTTGAACTGATTATAAAAATCAGCAAGTAATGTTTATCGATTACATGGGTCGCTGCAACACTGCAGCTGCGGCTTTCGCTGGAAGCGCTACACATTCTAAGTGAACCTCAAGCAAACCAACAACAAAGAAAAGGTTAGCATTTAGAAGTCGAGTCGGTTGCCATGCTCCTCGTGTGCAGTCATCAATTTACAGTCTGTTCGCTCGAGCAATGTGTGGCGACAAAAGGAAAAGCATTTCAAACTTTTGCTGACCGGAGGACAGCTCAAGCAACGGGGAGTGTCCGTAACCCGGAACCCTCACGGACTGACGACCCGTGTCCTGGCTGACCCGCAGGAGCTCTGACTTTAGGACGTGTATAAAGTTTGGCAGCAGCCTTAAAATCTGGCAGCTGGTCCTTACAACACCTGATCTGCAGGCGTACAGCAGGGAAGGAAAGTGTATAAAAGAAGCTGAAAAGCTTTCACTTCAAAGTCGAGGCTTGGAGATCTTGTCATTTTACGTTGGGTATGACTAAAATTATATTATCATCAAAATTAATTGAAAATATATGTATTCATATGCATATGCCAGCAGTAATATATTTAAGTAACTTTACGCATCTGTGTATTTGCACACATTTGAATTTCGGGCGCGCGCCCCATGTGGCGTATGCGTAATATTTCTAATGCAATGCACAGCTCGGCTCTCAGATGCACATTTATATGAAATGAGCTTAAAACGTTTGCAAAGCAACCGAGACACGCACCAACACACCAACACAGCAGCACACACTCACACACGCACACGCACACGCACACACACACACACACACACACACACACACACACACACACACACACTTGGCAGAGTAAGCCTCACATAAAAGCAGTCGCGGAAACGCGACGTATGAGCAATTTTTTTAAATAATTATTTCGACGCATGCTTCAAATTTTTTAGTTGTTCCCCTTGGTGCATAGGGGTAAGAGCTTTGCTAAGGTGCTATGCTGGGGTGCTGTGGTGCTGGGGTGTTGCTTTCGCTCTTCCTTTTGTTGCTGTAGTTTTTGTTGTCATTTTTGTTTTGTTTTTTTTTTTTCTTTTTTCGCTTTGATTTTAAATTAAAATTGAATGAATGCCGCTTTAATATTTAACCAGCACCCGAACTAAAACAATGCCAAATTGTTGTTTCTGTTTATTTATAGTAAATTGTTTTTAATGGCACGGCATGTTATTAAATATGCGCAACTATTTGTTCTGTTGGGGGCTGTTTTTGTGGTCTAGTTAAATATGTTGGCCCTATTTTTTATTGCCCTGCACCCGTTGAGAGTTTGTAAATAAAAGAAGGCTCAAATACTTTTGTGTCCAATGTGCGTTACAGGCAGAAGAAAGCATCTGTATGAAAGCTCCTATCTCAAAGATACATTTAGGAAAGGAGACTTGATATGGGAAATACCATTTTATTGTCCTCGTATTATATATATCGGTTTGTTTTTCGATATTTAACCCCATTTTCTTAATACGAATAACTGATTTTTTTAAAACTGTGTTTTTAGCATATATCTATAGGCAAATAGAGCTTATACGCCATATTCGTTAAGTACCTTCTCACATAACAACAGTTTTTAATTTTACTTTTAAATGAAAATGAGAAAAATATTCATTTTTAAAGCTAGAGCCCGTGCTTTGTCATGCTGTGACTGCTTTATTTACGCCCTAAACATTTCTTTAATATTATTTTACACAAAAAAATAAAGCTAGAGCCTTGCGCATTGGTATATACACACTTTAGACTGCTGAATTTATACCCTGAAAATTTCATAAAGATCGGAAAAAGAACACCAAAGTCAATAAAGCCTGCATTTCGCATAGTCTGGGGACTGCATTTCCCAAGGGAAGAAGAAGTGCAGCAGCTGCGTAAAATGCGCAGATTCAGAGCGTGTGAGTGTGTGCGTGTGCGTGTGTGTGTGTGTATGTGTGTGAGTATGTGAATAAGTGTTTAGAATAAATTCTGATGGCTGTTACAGCAACTCGGCATATGGTAAAGCCGGGCACTCCCTACTAGCGTACTCTTGGGTTGGTTTTTATTTTTTATTTTTTCAAACTTGACGTACGCAATGTGAATGTCTCTTTCAAGCCAACACATCCGCCCACACACACGTAAACAGAGCCAATTGCGTGTGTGGCCATTTGACCAAGAGCTAAAACCATTTTTCTGTCCAAGTTATTTCAGGCAGCTGAACCACAGCCCAGCAGTAAACACTTCTGTTCGGTAAACAGAAGAAAAAATATCTGTTGAAAACAGAAAAAACTCCTGTATTCGAACATCGAATTGTTGCATAGTTTTCGGCAAATATTGCCTGAATTGAGACATTGCAAAAAGTTTGCCAAAATGTTTGAATACGTCGTTCCATGAGCCTGATCAAGTGCAATTTTCCCAAGCTCACTGCGAAAAATTCAATATATAGTTATATAGCTTACAAATAAATATGTGAATGGGCAGAGTTGGCTGTTGGTTAAAATACTCGTTATTTAACAAATTGAGCGCAATTTACAAGTGAAAGGCTCTTAAATGATTCGAATAAAAAGAAATACAAATAAAATGCACAACTAGGGTTCGGGTTTGTAATTCGGGATATGTAGACAGAAGTAAATGTCGTAATAAAATAAATAAATCAAATAAACATAATAATAATACGTTATTATTAATATAATAGTATGATATGATAACATACATACATAACATACATAAAATGATTAAAAAGGAATGATACTGATGATGATGATCATGATCATGATCATGATCATGATAATGATAATGATAATGATAATGATAATGATAATGATAATGATAATGATAATGATAATGATAATGATAATGATAATGATAATGATAATGATAATGATAATGATAATGATAATGATAATGATAATAACAATAAGAATAATAAGAATAACCAGAATAATTATTTTGTTATTTATATTTAACACTATTATTATTATTGTTATTATTATAATTGTTATTATTATTATTTTTATTATTTTTATTATTATTATAATTATTATTATTATTATTATTATTACTATTATTATTATTATTATTATTATTATTATTATTATTATTATTATTATCATTATTTATATTATCATTATTTTTATTATCATTATTTTTATAATTATTATTTTTATTATTATTATTATGAATAACACAATAACACATTATTATAGAATAACACAAAAAGTTGAAAATATTTTTGATTTGAGTAAAATATATCTAAGTATTGTATTAATGTTAAGTATTAAGCATTTGTCAGATCACATATAAAAGATCAAATTTCTCGAAAGTAAAATCTCTTAGGCCCTTTGCCATGCACGCGATCAGGCTCAGAAGGAACACAAACTAACAACAATTTGATTATATTTGTCTTTAAATAATCTTTATAAATATACATGCATATTTATATCAATTACTTTATTTATGTTTCACACTTTGTGCAATTTGCAATTTACAAAAAAAATCTCTTATTTCAATGTTTAATCGCCTTTGCATGGCATTTTAAGCGGCTGACCACGAGAAAGAAATGCGAAGCCTAATTGAATATTGATTGGGCTTTATGCGATTAAACGAAATTAACATACATATATGTATATATTAACATATATCTACATTTATATATGCATATTTATATACATGTAAAAACTTGCGCAAACAGACATCTGTGGGACAATTAAAATATTTAAATTGAATTATGGTTTCTTGTTGTTGTTGTTGTTGTTTTATTATTAATAAGCCTTAAAGGTGGATTTCACGCAAAATGTAGTCTATTCAAAATGCATTTTAAGCATTTGTGTGTTATTAGATTTAAAAATTGTTGATATTTATTCATTCATTTTTAACACTTGCCAGAATTTGCAATTTCTCTTTGAGTATTTCCAAAAATGTTTCCACTTCTGTTAATATTTTTACTTTGAAGTTTTGCACCAAAAATACAAAAAAAAAAAAAAAACTATAGATAATAATTTATTCACACACAAATTTGAGACACTAACCAAGTGAACATCAGTTTTTGATTTGTTTTGTTTGGTTTTGTCGCCGATTGTCGTTGTTGCAGGCAAAGGCAAGGGAAATTGCGCTTCAGCTGCTACTGCTGCTTCGGCGCCCGCGCCCACACACAGACTAGAACAAACACGTCGTGCCGTCGGCAATGCTGAACGAGAACTAGAAACTGAAATCACTTTGCGCCAGAGACACAGCCACAACGCAAGCAGGCAGCAGAGCCAGCGACTCTGTCGACGGACGCAGAGCGTTTGGCTCCACAAATTTTGCCAGCGTGCGTGCGTAGACGGCGACGTCAATGTTGACGGCGGCGTCCACATCGTTGCGAATTCTCCGGCAATCCCAACGACGCGACGATTCGCACGACTCCAAAATCGCATGCGAGAAAACACTTGTATGATGTTGGACTGCTAGTGTAAATCGCACTAGGGAAATTTACAAGCACAACTTAAAGGCGAGAGCGCGAGCGAGCAAGAGAGAGATGGCCAGACAGAGAGCGAGCGCACAGATAGTAAAAAATTTCCCTGTTCTTGTCGCAGCGGCGAACACGAGTGCCATAAACGAATGGCACGAATCGGCTTCAACGCACCGACGAGCCGTAAACAGCTGCATGCTGTGGTTCTCTGCTGCCGTACATGTGTATGTGTGTGCGCGACCGTGTGTTTGGGTTGTGACTGAGAGGGTATTGGTGAGGCAGCCTCGCAGGCCAAGCCAAAATGTTGGCCTACCTGTTGCTTAGCAACTCGGCAGCGCGCCCAGACGCGCGCTTCATTATCATTGTCAGCATGCCAAATGATGGGGCAGCTGGCGAGGAGGGAAGGTGGGGCATTGGGCGCGAAGTCGCTGCTATGTGCAGATGTTGCACGTTTGTCTGTAAACGAAGCCTGTAACAGCTGTTCGAATCGAAAATAACCGTTAACGAATACTATTAGCATGGCCAAAACTGAAGAAAGGAAATTTTTGACTCGCATGCGAGATTTGTGGCCGACCCGTCGAAGAGGGTAAATTAAATTGCGTAAAGTACGTGTTAAAAAGAAATAGACACAAAACACACACAAAGGCGCACACACACGCACACACACGCACACATAGGGCGAGCAAAAAGGAGCAAGACAAAAAGCAAAGCCTGAGATGGTAATAAGCACAGCAAATGTTAGCTCCATGTGCGCGCGTGTGTGTCTGCGTGTGTGTATACGCTAGTGTGTGTATTTGAAAATTGAACATATTGCGCTGGGATTATAAATCGATTGTAAGACTGAGACACTTGACATACGTAAAACACAAAAGGCGATAAAAGGCATTCAGAATTCGACGATTCGAGCCGCACTGACAGCATCTGAAGCCCATTGGAGCCGCAGGTTGTTCTGAAATCGAAGCGATTATCGGGGGTTGGGACAGCAGCCTATCGCATTCCAAATGATAATCATTTTATTGGCTATGAAACTCAGCTCAATGTTCAGTTAATGCCAAATAATCCTAGAAAATATATCAAATGCCAATTCTACTCAAATTACATAGCACATGCTGCTCGGAACTCAAGTTGAATATTAAATGAATATAATTTCTAGCAACAAGTTGATTTTATTTTTTTTTTTGCAGACTGTACCCACTAAAAATTTGAAAAACTGGCATATTAGACAATATAGATAAAAATAACTTTTTTACGATCCAATTCAGCGATAAATAAAATTTCGCAATGTCCTCAAAAATCAAGTATTAAAACTGAACGTGTTCTTTAAATAGAAACACAAAACTTTCGTACGCTTGTATCCAAAATAACTGTACTCCCCTATGAAAAAAATTTGTTGTAAGCACACAAAAAAATATCAAAAACACTGTTAAAGATATGAAAGAAAATACCTTAAAGCGTCTGTTGCGAAACGAGCTCCAAAGTATGCAATACTCTAATTAGCCACAACCCAAAAGGGGAATTTAAGGGGAATTTAACATACAATACTTTCACAAATGTATATATATGCATGTATATGCAGAAATTATCTGAGAAAAGGTTATGTCTATACTAGAAATGAGCAGAAATTATCAAACATGATTAGCGCAAGACATTAACAGGCAGCCAAAGAGCCTTTGCACGACTAGCAAATACCTCGTACGAAGTAATGAAATTAAGTCAAACGTATCAAATCGAAATATCCACCCATAATATAAAATATCCAAAGCAAATAAACAGGAATTTAAAGAGTATATAGTCAAAAAAAAAATTGAAAACCTTACACAAGATTGATGACAGACAAAGAGGTATCCAAACGCAACAGTTTTAGATCGTTATTCTCAACTAACTGTTAACCGTTTCAGCATATTATTTGTTCAGTTGTCTAATTAATGACCGCTAAATATGCTTCGTGCCGTGCATTGATTATGGCCTATATCAAGGGTATTTTGTTTGTTATACACATTGCGGCTGCCCAGGCCTGGCCTGGCCTGGCCTGGCCTGGCTTGATGTTGTTGCTGTTTGCGGTTCCTCTTGTTTGCATTCGGCAGCAGCAGCCGTGGCAGCCGCAGCAGCAGCGCACGTAACGGCAAATGCCACTCAACACTCAACACTCCACATGCCAAATACAAACACGCGCGCAGAAGAAGCAACACAGATGGAAGCGTAGGTAGCGAGGGGAAGTGAGCGAGGGTAGCTGCGCCAGCAGAACCACAGTTAGAAACGGCGCCAGGTCTTCAAGCAAGGCAGCGGGCAGCAGTCTATGGTGGGCGGGGAGGGGCGCATATTGGCAGCGATGTCGAAGTCGAAGTCGCCGTCGAAGTAGAAAAGTGTAAACAAGAAACGTGATATTTGACAGATGACTGTAGATATTTAGATACCAACATAAATACTACTTATGCCCAATGTCGCTTTCTCTCTTGCCCTTCCTATCCCCAGCCTACCCCTGCATAGCTAGCTGAGTCAAGCACACACACGCACACCCGCACACCCGCACACCCGTACACTCGCACTTCCCCCTGCACAGCTGCCACTGTCTCTGGGGTCTTATTGATTTTCTGCTGGCTTTCACAGCCACTTGCCGCTTGGTTTGAAGTGCCAGCCACGCATAAAGGACGCAGCCAAAAAGAGAAACAGAGTGAGCGAGAGAATGAGAGAGAGAGAGAGTGGAAAAAAATGATGAAGGCAAAAAGAGACAAATAAGACAAAAAATAAAACAAGCACCAAAAAAAAAAAAAAAAAAAAAACCAAAATGAGCACAAAAGAATCGAAAGATGCAAATATTGTAATGGATTCATGTTGTTCGTTGTATGTTGCCCACGCCCCTCTCTGCGACTCTTCCTTAATTTAACCATCAGCTACTCCTTATGTATATACGTTTGTATGTGTGTGTGTATGTGTGTCTGTGTTTGACGTATGCTTAACATTGACACAAGGCGACTCAAAACAATTTAGTAATAGTAATTAAATTTCATAAAAGTTTATTTTCACCAAAAACCCCAAAAAAGCAACTCTTTATAGTCAATGTTGTTCATGGTGTTTTGAAACAGTTTTTTTTTTATAGCAACAACCAACTGTTTTTTATAGGGTATTATAAAGGAGTCCTCTTTGGTTCTACAGTCAATGGTTTGCCTAGAGCACTTCTTAAATAGACAGGAAGAAGTACAACCCAATATGATTATTGGATGTATTCAATTTTATAAATTAACTTAAAGATCTTGTTACTTTAAAGTGGAAGATGTGGAAGAAACCTTATCAAATTTAAAAAGAAAGATTAGCTGAGAGCAAAACTTAAACATCTAGTATAAATATATATATATATTTATATATATAGTAGTATATATAGTTGGACCAAGACTTTATACCAACGTTGATGACCCGGCTTATACGTAATATTTTGTATGTTCAACATGTCGAATTAAAGACTAATTCAGGATGAAACCTAATAATCTAGATAAATAATCGAGCACTAAATCTAGATAATCAAACGGCAACACTAAATATTACGTATACGCAGGGTAATAAACTGTGATATAAATATAAATATTATTATCAGTATATATTTATATATTTCATATATGCCACTCGGGAGTAGAGTAATGTTGGAATAAATCTATATTTATACCAAAGTTGAAGACCCTATGTATACGTTATATGTGGTGGGGTCAACGTGGCGTATACATTTTATTTGATGCGTCAATGAATTTGTTGGATGTACTCACAATCATAATAGTCATATCGATCCGCCTCGCTGGGATTATTGCTGCCCATGATTTTGCCAAAAACTGCAAACAGAATGAAAAAATGGTTGATGAGTCTGTCGAGTGTAGGGGTTGGAGTACAATTAAATATACAAACAAAAAAGAAAATGGCACAATTCAATTAAAATCGCTGTGCCGCAAGCAAAGCAAAATGGACGCTCAAAAGAGTTAACATGAAAATGCAGTTGGGTCAAACAATTACACGCCACGGCTGAGGGCGTCATCGGGATTGGAAAGGGGATCGGGATCGGGATCTGGATTATAAACTGTGATTTGAATATATGCGAATGCAATGCTCTGTGGCAGCGGGTCTGATGGGGGGTTAGCTAACTCACATTTGACAAAACTCCGGCGAATGCGAACAAAACACGAAGCGGAGCGGGAGAGCTGCGTTAGGTCCTCGGGATGGGCGCCGCTCTGTATGCAATGGATGGGCGCCAGTGGCGTGATGCGGCAGCGACTGTGGCTGCGACTGCGACGCCGACGCTCAAGCAATGGTATTGCCACAAAGCTGTGCTCCACTGGGGCGCCTTCGGTTGCTCCACCAGCTTCCACAGGCGGCAGCGTTGAGTCACCAGGTATGATGTTGCCGTTGTCGTTGTTGTTATGATTGTTGCTGCTGTTATTATTATTGTTATTGCTGTTGCTGCTGCTGTTGTTGTTGTTGTTGTTGTTGTTGTTGTTGCTGCCGTTGCTGTTGCTGTTGTAACTGATGATGGTAATGACATTGACGGTACCCTGCAATGGGCTTGAGTTCGTCGCTGCCGTTGCTGTAAAACAAAAACAAAAAATAGAAGAAAAGTTGAAAAGTCTAATCAATTGCTTTGCTGATTTGTGATTTTACCAAAAAAAAAAAATAAAAAAAAAAAAAAATGTAGAAAACTGCAAAGTCGGAAAATGGGAAAATCCCATTTCGCACGCGACGCATATGTGACAAATTTTTGCTGTCCCGTGCAATTCTGATTTTTTTTCTTTTTGATCTCCCTCACTTGCGAATGTCGTAAATCATTCAAATTTGCATTCAATGTATTCGTTTCACTTTTTTTTCGGGCGGGGAGCTCTCAAAAATATGCAAGGCAATGTGCCAAATGGCGCAGAATGCGCAAAAAAAAAAAAAAACATAACACGCTTGCCCGCTGCAAAACTCTAGTCGGGGACTCAGCAGCTCAAACGGCAATAAAAAAAGTAACATATGAGCGACAATTTAACTCTTTTTGAACAAGGATTCTTATAGTTCACTTATGACATATGAGAGTACTTTGTTGCTATTTCGTTCGAAGAACTTTGAAACCATTTTGAGATATCCATACAATAACTCTTTGGATGCATGCTTCAGTGGACAGTAAAGTTTTCGACTTACAATCATTTTTAAAGAGTTTGCGTAAAAGCAAAGAAGAAACTCTTTAAATAGACAACAACATAAGCGAGGATTGCTTGAGCATCTTGAGAATCGCATAGAAATGCGATGTTGAGAAGAGTGCAAAAGCGAACATGCATGAAGTTAGTAAAAAGTGACCTAAAGCAAGCCAAGT